CAAGAGACCGTCACAGAAATTCTAATGGTTTCCACTACAAATACCATTACAAACATTAAAAACCATCAACTTTTAACCATTAAAAATGGTTTCCTGTAGTGTGTTTTGGGACATATTCCATTAGGATTTAGTGGTTTTAACAAGCCACCAATAGAAGGCGACCAATTACCAGTAGAGACCAACACCATTGCAGTTTCCATTAAAACCAGTACAATTCCCATTATAACCATTAAAACCATTACAAATTCTGGGAAGGTGTCTATTGTTTTTTTTTTTTCAGCAGGATCTGTTTATTAATACTTTTGATTGTCTGTTACCTGATAAATACCAAGGTCATTGGCTGCACCCCCTGTGAAGTATATTTCACAGATATTATACAATTACAATAGGTATGTATATTTAATTATAATTATATAATTAATACAAGTTTATAGATAAATAGATTCATTTTTAATACCTTCATCTGTAGTTCTGCCATTTTCTGCTCTTTGCCCTAAAAATATAACAACAGTAAAACATTCTGTACAAAATAGAAATGAAATGCAGCAATTGCTTTAATTGTATTTTCTGTTTTAGGTAGTCTGCTGAATAGCTGGGGAGTTTTTAAAAGGGACAATTTGTCTGTTTTGGTGTTTCTGTGATTCAAGCTTCTTTTTTCAAACTGGTGTTTGTGAGAACATTTGGGTGAGAAGTGAGATGCTGAGATTACGTGGTATTGAGGTTCATGAACTGAGTCACAGAATAAACCTAAATCATGAAGGATGTGGGTTTCATAAACAGAGTTATTACATTTACATTTAGACATTTAGCAGATGCTTTTATCCAAAGCGACTTACAAATGAGGACAATGGAAGCAATCAAAATCAACAAAAGCAATGATATGCAAGTGCTGACAAGTCTATAATAAATAAAAAGAAAACAGATAGAATAGAAAAAGAATAGAACAAGCTAGTGTTAGAGGCCTTTTTTGCTTTTGTTAATTGTATAATAAATAAAAAGAAAACAGATAGAGTACAAAAAGATTAGAGAAGCTAGTGTTCGTTTTTTTTTTTTTTAAGAAAACAAGCAGTTAGTAAATAAATAGAGTGCAAGTCTAAAAGTAAAAATGTATACATTTAACATTGAATTATTCATAACATGAGATTCATAACATTTATGAACATTGATTATGTATTTGGGAGAAAATCTTACTGTGATGGTATTTGTAAAGGCAGTAGAACACGATGCACAGTCCCAAAACACCTGTGAGTGTAAGTCCACTTGAAAGCACAGTTTGATCAAACTGAGTTTTATCTCTAGTGCCATTTCCTTGGTTAACAGTTGAGTTTCCACCTTAAATTAAAAAAACAGAAAAATACATGATTATGCAATGCAGCTTCCTTTTTCACAGTGTTACTTTCTTTTTAAAGATGTCTTACGAAGTGCCTTTGTGTTTAAAAATGTTTTAGGTTTAATTCCTGTCCTAAACAGAATATTACAATCTGGCATGATTTAGCAAATTCATATAAGGTGCACAATGAATGAAGAACTGCTCACTGGTAATATATGTGTGCTTTTCTGATTCTCCATATGCATTTGAAGCAATACAGCTGTACGTGCCGTATTCGGAGCTGGTTATGTTGCTGATGTGTAGAGTTTGGTTCCTCTCACTGAATGAGTGTCTGTGTTTCTCTAGAATAGGGACTCCTTCTCTCTTCCACATCAGATGCAGGAATAAACCGCTCACTTCACACTTGAGAGCCACAGATGTGCTGGAGGTCCAGGAGACCACAATTTCTGTTGCATTTGGAGGATCTTAAAGTAAAATATGTTAATGAGCACAAGCACAGCATAATTAGATGAATTCTACATGAATAAGCTCGACTCTGATTCGGCTGACTTACATTGAATAATTAATGTAAAGTTTAGGCATTTTGTAGTTCCATTTCCTGTAACTATAGTTTCAATGAAGACTCCTTCATCCCTTGCTGTCACTCTCTCCAGAATGAGGGTGTTGTTGTTTAAATAGAAATGAGCCGTTCCACAGCATTGACTGTATGAAGCATTGAATATATTTGTTTTTGTAATACATAGACATGTTATCGATCCCTTTCGTTTGGTCCATTCCACTGACTTCAGAGAATCTGCAATATTTTGATCAAGTTCCTCTCCAGTGAGTTCAACACGATTGTATAGGCCCGTCTTCACTTCTTTGACTTTAATTTCTCTCACTGTCAATCAATATGTATGTTCGTTATTATTAATTAACAAATACTTCTGAGTAAAAGATAAACTATATCTTATAAATGACTATACATGTGAATGTAGTAATTGGCCTAAAGAGATGAAGTTAGTTTAAGTCAACTTTAAGTAAACATCACATATATACTACATATCTAGCTTTTTAAAATTTATTCGATGTATATATAACAAACCACATATGCATTAACAGATAAAAAAACAGAAGCACTGCAATAATTATTAGCTATAGAATTTATTTGCCATACTTACCAAATACAGCGAAGAAAAACAGCCAAATATGAATGAAACATCCATGCATCATAAGTCAGGAGTTAGACTTAATCCTCTTGTAGTCAAATTAGCATTTTATTAACATTGGTAACCATTAATCAGTAGATCTAGTTTCTGTGACACTCGGAGTTGAAACTGTCACCTCAGAGTAAAGAATAGCCAATAAAAACCACGACAGGAAAATAAAAAGCGGTTAGAACAAGGAAGGCAGGGCTGCTCTTATTCAGACGATATATTAGACAACGCCTCATGTACATGTTTTATATTGTATATATCAGACCAATTACTAATTCATGAAAAAAAAAAACCTTGCCTGAAACCTGAACCTTGCTCTGGTTGAACGTATTATTTAAAATGTCATCTATAATGTCATATAATGTCATCTTGCTGTGCTAAATGGCCAGATGCCTTTCGGTGTATAGTGAATCAGTTTAATTTAGTATTATTTTACTGGATATTTATACAATACCTACTGTTATTTAAAGGGGTCATATGATGCTATTTTAAAGATCATTATTTTGGGTATTTGGTGTAACAGAATATGTTGACATGCTTTAATGTTCAAAAAACACATTATTTTTTCAAATACTGTACATTATTGTAGGTCCTCTATGCCCCGCCTCTCTCAAACACGTCGTTTTCATCAAAACCCCCTCCTTTGACAAGCGCAGTCTGCTCTGATTGGCCAGCTGACCCAGTGCATTGTGATTGGCCGAACACCACAAGCAAGCGTCGGAAATGTAACGCCCCTTACCATAATCGCGAGCTTCAGCTTTCAAAGTAAATATCAAGACAGTTAATATGTCGTTAGTTTTATGATCAGTTCAAGTCTGAAAGGGCAACAGAGTCTCGTGACAGACACAGTGATGATGCAGTACACAAGCCGCGGTTAAGACAGCTGACGTGCTATGATTTCTGACAGACTCCAAAGAGAAAGGAAAAGTTTAAATCGCATCATATGACCCCTTTAACAGTATATGTCCTAATAAAAGCTAGTCTGAATCCCCTGATACTAAATGTAAAGTGACATAAAACATCTGTTAATGTAAGAAGTGAAGTTAAACAAGGAAACCCATCATCCTCCTGTTTTACCCTTTAAAACAAGTCTGCTAAACATAAACATATGAAGAATTCACACAATCTGAGATGCATGACAGAATGTAACTTCACAGCTACAACTGGCGACACAACAGCTAAGAACGAAACAGGATGTATGAAAATAGGCCATGAAGGAGACTTCAGTCCAAAGTGAGTCTTTCTAATTCAGCAGTGGCTGTTCGTGAAGCAGGCCGTGTGTCAGATTTCTGGCCCTCCGCTACAGATTTAAAGTGCTGATCACAGGAGAAATAAAAAGAAGCTCATCAATAATACAACCCAGAACTGAAACATTTAAAATCCTGTGCTTTACAAAACGTGAATAAATGCCACTTAATACAAATCATGCAAAACAAGTACCTCAGCATTTGTAGATTGTGAAAAGCAATTATTATTATTTAATGTAATATTGTAGAATATCATTTGTCCTCTCCAGTTTCAGGACATGCTGTGGACTGATCATTAGTGACCCAATACAGAACGACGGTTTCTTCCCTGCCTGTGCCTCCAACCTCAGAGTTACCAAACTCCTCAAAGTGTTGCGCTGCAGCGGAGGCCTGGCTGCTCTCTTTCGGCTTAATGAAGTCTGTGTAGACGTACAAGAAGGAAGTCACCTCTTCAGAGTCAGGTACTTCCTGAGAGACAGGAGTTGTCAGTGTATACAGGTATATTAACAATTATATAAATAAATCATTCATAGAATTCCACTGGATACAAAGAGTTTGTTATTTGACTTAAAGACCCCATAAAATTACTTTAGGATTGTGTTGACATATTGAAACTTTTTAGGTCACACGTTACTTTACAACCTGAACCATGATTAGGTACTCGCTAAAAGCAAGTGATAACAGGATGAGGAAACATTCTAATTTTAAAGAGCATTTTATTGGATGAAACCATGTATGCACGCACCCATCAAGTGCAAGATGAGTCATCAATATTGTTTGTTTTCCTGGAAGAGGAATGTGTATATGTGCTTAAAGCTAATGTGCACGGGCATAGAGGCATTTAAGCTAACAGACATGGAATAACAGCCACAAAACGGCAGTATTTATTTTCATGGGATCTTCAAGTTAAAGATAATAAATGTTAATCATATTAATGTCCATCAAACTGTGTATACTGAAATCATTATTTATCTGTTTATGCCTTTTTGTGCATTACCTGATAAATTCCATGGACATTGTCTGCATCCCCTGTGTATTAAAGAGTGCGGTTATAACTTACAAGATACTGTATAATATTAGTTGCAGCTCAGATTTTTTTTTTAACCTTCATCTGTAGTTCTGCCAATTTCCACTCTTTGGCCTTAAAAATACAACCAATGTAAAATACACTACACAAAATCAAATTTTACACAGTGCATTTTATAATACTATACATGCCATGTATTTCAGGATAGTCTGCAGAGAATCTGGTGAGTTTTGTTGAGAGGAAAATTTGTCTGTGGTTAGTACTACTCTTCCTGTGAGAATATTTGGGTGAGAACTGACATGTTGAGATTACGAGGTATTGAGACTGAAAAACTGAATAAACAATCACAGAATCACAGAATCAACCTAAATCATGGAGGATGTGGGTTTCATAAACAAAGAGTTATTATTTTGCTAAAGCAACATTTATGAACATTGATTATGTATTTGGGAGAAAATCTTACTGTGATGGTATTTGTAAAGGCAGTAGAACACGATGCACAGTCCCAAAACACCTGTGAGTGTAAGTCCACTTGAAAGCACAGTTTGATCAAACTGAGTTTTATCTCTAGTGCCATTTCCTTGGTTAACAGTTGAATTTCCACCTTAAATAAAAAAACAGAAAAATACATGATTATGCAATGCAGCTTCCTTTTTCACAGTGTTACTTTCTTTTTAAAGATGTCTTACGAAGTGCCTTTGTGTTTAAAAATGTTTTAGGTTTAATTCCTGTCCTAAACAGAATATTACAATCTGGCATGATTTAGCAAATTCATATAAGGTGCACAATGAATGAAGAACTGCTCACTGGTAATATATGTGTGCTTTTCTGATTCTCCATATGCATTTGAAGCAATACAGCTGTACGTGCCGTATTCGGAGCTGGTTATGTTGCTGATGTGTAGAGTTTGGTTCCTCTCACTGAATGAGTGTCTGTGTTTCTCTAGAATAGGGACTCCTTCTCTCTTCCACATCAGATGCAGGAATAAACCGCTCACTTCACACTTGAGAGCCACAGATGTGCTGGAGGTCCAGGAGACCACAATTTCTGTTGCATTTGGAGGATCTTAAAGTAAAATATGTTAATGCATAACATACAAGCACAGTATAATTGGATGAATTCTACATGAATAAGCTCGACTCTGATTCGGCTGACTTACATTGAATAATTAATGTAAAGTTTAGGCATTTTGTAGTTCCATTTCCTGTAACTATAGTTTCAATGAAGACTCCTTCATCCCTTGCTGTCACTCTCTCCAGAATGAGGGTGTTGTTGTTTAAATAGAAATGAGCCGTTCCACAGCATTGACTGTATGAAGCATTGAATATATTTGTTTTTGTAATACATAGACATGTTATCGATCCCTTTCGTTTGGTCCATTCCACTGACTTCAGAGAATCTGCAATATTTTGATCAAGTTCCTCTCCAGTGAGTTCAACACGATTGTATAGGCCCGTCTTCACTTCTTTGACTTTAATTTCTCTCACTGTCAATCAATATGTATGTTCGTTGTTATTAATAAGCAAATACTTCTGAGTGAAAGACACTATATCATATGAATGACAATAAAAGTAAAATGTAGTAATTGGCTGACAGATGAAATTATTGTCGGCTATTAAGTAAACATCATATATGTAATATATCTAGCTTTTGAAAATTCTAAATATTATTTACTATCTAGCCATAGAAATTATTAGTCATACTTACCCAATACAGCAAAGAAAAACAGCCAAACATGAATGAAACATCCAGGCATCGTAAGTCAGAAATTAGACTTCTTGATATAGACTTCTAGATCTTCTTGTTGCTAAATCAGTATATTATTTGATTCATAATCATTCAAATATGTAGACATTCTTTATATGATCCTCTTTATAGCACTCAAAACTGCTGCCACCTCAGCGTTAAGAATAGCCACTAAAAACCACGACAAGAAAATAAAAAGCAGTTAGAACAAGGAAGAAGGCAGGGCTGCTCTTATTCAGATGATACAGTGGTGTGAAAAAGTGTTGGCCCCCTTCCTGATTTCTTTTTTTTTTTGCATGTTTGTCACACTTTAATGTTTCAGATCATCAAACAAATTTCAATATTAGTAAAAGATAACACAAGTGAACACAACATGCAGTTTTTAGGAAGGGGGCCAACACTTTTTCACACCACTGTATATTAGACAACGCCTCATGTACATGTTTCATATTGTATATATCAGACCAATTGTTAATTCATTAAAAAAACTACTTGCTCTGGTTCAGCGTATCATTTAAATGTCTAAAACTGATTATGGTTTATATATTATGTATATTTATATCATTCTACTTTGCTAAATCACCAGATGCCTTTCAGTGTTTATTGTTGATTCAGTTTAATTCAGTATTAGTTTTATTGGATATTTATTCAGTACTTACTGTTATTTAACAGTATATAGAGTCTAGGTCATAAATCATCTATTAATTTAAGAAGTGGAGTTAAACAAGGAAACCCATCATTATCTGGTTTTACCTTTTAATAAGAAAAGACCAATTCATTGCAAACTGTGAAATAATTAGGCAGTGGATTATGGAGAAGATTTGATGATTTTTGAAGACACATTTCCCAGTCTACAGTTTGAAGAAATTAGTTTTTACTAAAACAAGTCTGCTAAACATAAACATATGAAGAATTCACACAATCTGAGATGCATGACAGAATGTAACTTCACAGCTACAACTGGCGACACAACAGCTAAGAACGAGACAGGATGTATGAAAATAGATTTTTTTTATGTATTTAATATTGTAGAGTATCTGAAACTAACCTGTGAGTTTTTAAATTCAGAGTAGAGTGTGAACAGCACGTGAAGTGAGTGAATCCGGTTCTTATACACAGAACAGATAACACAGATAACACAGGGATGTCCAGGATTCCTGACAGGTTACACTAACAGTCGTTACAAAAAAAAGAACAAAAGCATCAAAGATGTAAATACAAGAAACATGCAACTTACCGCAAATAATGTCGACATACTCTGCCAAATCACAGTCAATATCTGCGGTGGGGAGATTCACCTGATGAACAGATGGAGAAGTGAAGGTGAACATGACTGAATTTGCAGAAAGGTATTTAAACAACATATTTGAGTGGAGCTAACCTTCCCCAAAAGCTCCTCAAACTCAGGCGGCCACTCTTGCATCAGGCTGTCAATATCTGGCATGGGTCTGGAGAAATATACAAGACTCTTGTTACAAAATGACATAGATGTTGTGTTCTGCTCTCTGGATGTTTGTGGTTGGTTCATGTCAGTGCTTGCCTTGTGTAGTGTACGGTAGCTGGAGGCTTGGACCGATGCAGCTCACTAATGCTCTCGATCCAGTTGTCTATGGCTTTGGGGTTCTTCTCTGGGTTTTCAATGCTCTTGACTTTCACTTCCTGTGAAACAGATGTGCATCACTTTCTCATTTCACTTGCTAGGCCAAAATAAACGAAGCACCTTAAGTCATCTAGTGCGAGTGTGTGAACTCACAGCAACATTGTGTTGTTTGCTGTTCTCTGACAGCCACAGGGAAATTACTGTTGGGTCTGACTGTTTAGTGCACGGCTCATTCAGAACCAGGAGACCCAGATTGTCAGCCTTCCCATCTGGTCGTGGTACCTGTGGGTTGAACAGAATGATTCAGAAACTGAAAACTGGACATTCATGTCCGGTTCAGATTTGAACATTTTCACTCACTTTGAGGAAAGCATCAATGTCCCCCACAGTTGGGATGAAATCAGGGATAAAGGGCTTCAGTTTGTGGTCAAGCTCTATTGTCTGTGGAGTATATCTGAAAGAAACACTCATGCAATTAATACCAGTAAGAATCCATGAGATATCTACAAGTCAAAAGAGTGTATTTTGAGTTTCTTATGTCTCAAAGGTTGATTTTTTTTCTATAAAAGTTCACATTAAAACTGTCTTGAAAACGTTTTTTTTTTTATATATTTTAGCATTTTAAAACTTAATTTTTTTTACTATATAAACAATTATATTAAAATTACCTAAATATTACTTACTGTGCATTTCTAATTTTAGCAAATGTAAAAGTTTGAAAATATTATTTGTGTTTAAATTTTCATCGTTTCCACCACCAACTCAATACATATATTGAGATGTTCATGTACATCTAGAAAAAAATGACAGAATTCTCCTGTGATGTTATGTATATTCACTGTTAGACATTGTTAGCAAACAAATGTAATAAATAAGATTTCTTAATGTCGACAGGGTCAAAAGTGCTCATAATTGAAGAAACACTCATTTGCAGTGAAAGAGTGTTAAAGGTCAGTTTGCCAGATGTTTTTCTGTTTGTGTTTTGTGTGCAGGTGCACATCAAATGCAGTGAAGTTGGTGCTTGTTAACCTTGTGATGTACTGAAACAGCTCTTTGATCTCAGCTGTCACAGGAAGATGTTCATAATCGGCTGGGTCATATGCACTGTGAGAAATCATCCACACACACACACACATCCACATTATTTTCAAAAATAATAAAGTAGCTTTTTGTTTTGAGTAGATATTATAACTACTGTATAATGCTCTTAGTACTATTGATAAAACATATTACTGAAAAGTGTTACAACTTATACAACTTGTCCACTTCATCACTGTATATCTCCTCTTTGATACAATTTCATTCAAATCAATCAATCTCTCTCATCTTGGACAGCAGACAGTGTCTCAAATGAGCGGCCCTACCCTTCTGGAGCAGATCCAGGCTCCTCTTCCTCCTCATCAGACTCTGTGTCATCAGAATCATCCTCGTCATCATCATCCTCCTCCTCCTCATCCTCTTCATCATTCTGATTAGTAGCATGGGCACCAGGTGGCGGCTCTTTCTTTCTCTGCTGTCAGATATGAACAGGTCATTCAAACTTCATTTTATCCTTTCCCCAAGTAAGAGTTAGTGAACTTACTTTAGTGTCCTCTTCTAGTTTATCGCCAGCATAAGTGGCCATGGCGCTCTGCTTCTGCCTGCCTGTCCTCCTGGAAACTGAAATAAAGACATAATGGCATGAAAAACAGTTGATGAATGGTAGGTAAACTGTAAAGAAGTGGTAAACAGTCTGACCCATCTGTCTTGGGGATGGTGTATGCACACTGGCCGCCTCCTCTGCATTCACCTCAAAACTCTCGTCGTATGGCTGGTTGGTTTTGAGTTTAATCTGTTTGCAGATATTATTTGCACTTTTTAGGTTTTACTAAAACTGGGGGCCGGTTGCATAAACTGTTTAGACTAGTCTTAAAAAGTTAATAATCATCTAATTTTTTTTCCCTCAAGACTGGTCATAACTTTTTTAATTCAGTTATGAAAAGGCAGATTGGTCTTATTTGTATAGGGTATATGTCGAACATCACCTGACCAAACTCGGAAAACAGGTCTCATTGCTTCCGCTTGTCGGAGAACGTGTTAACAGCCGTATTAAATAATAGCGATATCTATGGACTTTTAAGATAATCAGTTAAACCAACTAGCTGTTTTTATTGCTGACGTTTTATTCAATTTTTATATCTAAATGTGAAAAGAATAAAAATAAAAAAAACTTTTAGATATCAGTCCGCATATGTGATGGACATTGGTTATGATCATCATTGGTATCTACTTTGAAGGCATCTTGAGTAAAACTGCTTCATATTTAACTAAGCATATGCAAAACGCTTGAACCGGAAGCGACGAGACCCGGTTAACAGAATACGGACGTCTGTTGCGCATAACCCCTATTGGAGAAGTAAGACTGATTACCCCTTGGCAACTTCTAGTTGGTCAAACTAACGTTAGTTCTTAAGACACAGTCTTAACATGGAGGCTACGTTTATGCAACTGGCCCTGGGTCTCATAACCTAGGGAGATGCCTATCTAGAATGTATTTTTGAGTCATAGTGATACCAAAACGCTGCTGACTCAGAACATGTCTATGATGCCCTAAAATGCTGTCTAGGTAAGTTAGGCAGCATAACGTTACTAGGTTTAGAGACGCAGGTTTAGCTTTTTTGCTTTACGGGACTATTATAACCTACCAAAAACCGTTTTAGGAAGCAACTAATAACCAGTATCTTTTAGATAACATTTGTAGACAAAATGTGACACGCAGAAATTAAGGAATAACAATGTTTTACTGTAGCTTGGTGTTTGATGGACGCGCTACATTGATTTACGAGCTACATCGAATAGCGAGCCAGAAAATACACTACATTCGTGTCTTAAAGAAATTCTTACGTATTTAACATGGTACGCAAGATTCAATTATTGACATTAATAATAATAACAAACCTTTTGTCGCTCAGACTTCTCCATGAAAACACGGTGTATTGTTGCCAAGGAAACTTGATCTCGCGAGATGTTCAGCGGAAGTGCGTGAGACAGATGTTATTGAACTCATGATGGCACAAGAACAAGAGGTATTACATGGTCACATTATTAACAACTTTAGCTGTCAAAAAAGAGATACATTACTTTTAGTGCTTTAAAAACATTGCAGGGTTGTGTATAGTTTAAAGTCCTTTATAGTTTGATTTGCAAAAACCCCTCTTTTTACGTATATGGTATTTTCCTAATAAAATAAAAAGCACATAAGAAACATACGCCCGTTTCCTGTTAATAAACGTTTCTAAATCCTTTCAAAGTAATCTTGAGAAAATCCAATGATGAAACAAATACAAAATTACTTTTCCAGTCCACAAAAAGTTATATAATATGTTTAGCTTAAATGACGCCTGTCTAATTAATACCTGACAGGCAGATTATTATTATTATTATTATTATTATTACATTTTA